AGATTATCACATCGCAAAAATCGAAATGGGCCAACCCATTTCAGGATCCCAGAATGGGTCAAATCCTAGAATGGGTCAAATCCTAGAATGGGTCCAAACATTCATATCGTCTTGCAACTATTATAATTAGTTGATTATTGATATCAAAATTAAAACATCGCTCTAAGTAGGGGCATCAGTTCTCACGAAGTCTCAGCCTCGATCGCGGTCTCTGTCACACACATTTTACCTAATCTCTCATCCTCTATCTCGGCCTTGTATTTAGGTTTTGTGACAGATAAAATTAATAAAATTTCGTGTGAATGAGTCAGATTCATATAATAAAGTTCTACATTTTATTAAAAAAAATTATGCAAATAAACAATTCCAATTTAGTCAATGCCCCTGATGCCCCTATCTATTTAAAGCAATAATTTCCAAATTTGATCGAGGCATCGAACTGTTGAGAAGACCCTTAGATGTGCAGAATTTTTCTCCTCCGTATTAATATCTTTTTTTTTTATTATTAAATAAACACAATGACAATGATAAACAAATGACTCGTTCATGTGAATTTTATTTCTCAACTAGTACTAGTACTAGATATCTGCCAAACAAAGATAATTATACATATTCTTTCTCTCCAAAAGAATATAAATTACGCCATTTTCTGATAATCGTGCATTCTTCCGACAAAATAATACGAAAATTTCGGATATTTGTGTCGTACAAGAATAATTTTTATTTACGGTAACGATGCGACCACTACTTTAATAAAATCCGCTCACATGAGAATAATAGTAACACTAATACAAATTTATTCAACGGTATAAAAGTTTGCTAATGCTTCCAACGTAAGATTGCGCTTTAATACAAAGAGTTTTTTTTCGAGGCCAGTCAGAGCCTTGCGTTATTTTGATGTTTTATTTTTTGAATTGCTTATTATAGACATAACATTTGAAGAACCACTCGTTGAACTTTCTCCGTGATTGTTCATTCTGAGGATTAGTGTCACTTGATAAATATCAGATTCTCATATCTGAAAAGTTCTTGTTTATAAGTTCAAAAAGGGTAGTTGTTAGCAAGTTGGAAATGATAGTGAAAAATGGTCTAAGCACAAAAAAGCTTTCTTCAAGAATTCAAAGAAATCTTTGAGGAACGTAAAAAGGAAAGTCATAGTATCAGTCAAGAAACGTGTGCTGCAGAAATTCGAAGTACCTCTGGACGTATATGCCAAAAGAGGGAGAGAAGGCTGTTAGATATTGGGTAATGAATGAAAAACGAAAAAAGCATATACAGAAGACAGGGGAGGACCCCGCTGAGACAGCAATCTTATATGGCAATAAATCGACAGATAATGAACAGTAGGTAGTCTACAAAGCATTCTTATCACGATAATAAAGCCATCGTTATCATGTGAGCGGATTTTATTAAAGTAGTGGTCGCATCGTTACCGTAAATAAAAATTATTCTTGTACGACACAAATATCCAAAATTTTCGTATTATTTTGTCGGAAGAATGCACGATTATCACTCTATGCTCATTGTCAACAGTAAACTAAAAATAATAAAAATAAAATAATATTAAATCAAGAATCAAGAATCAAGACGAAGATGAAGGCGAAAACAAGGAGAAAGAAGAAACAAAGGAGAATAAATATGACACCTCGAATCAATAAAGAAAGTCAACGCTGATGTGAGAATTTTAGTCATTGTGAGAGAAGTTCAGTCGCTGTGTGAATTTGGATCTTTGTGTGAATTTTGAATGCTGCTAGAATTATCTTGCTCATTCGCTTTCTCTCTCTATCTCTCGCTCACACTGTCAGATATTACTTGAATATGTCGAACGTTACCTGAATTGCAGGACATATGTAAAGTAGAGAAAAAACCGTGTCGTGCCGAGCAACACTGCAACTACTCAAAGAGTTTTCCGAAAATTATATTTCGATTAATGAAACAAGGGCTATATCAGCCGGTGAGTAAATAAAGAAATTGTTAATGGACTTGAAATATTCTGAGAATATTTACGCACTCAAATACATTCTCAAACATAAAGGAGGTTCTGTGTCGGTGGATATGTAGAACAGCCTTAAAGAGTCTAACGCATTGGTAACTATCATTTCGCGTACAAAAGTATTGCATCATCAATAAATATAAAAAACTCTTTTTTAATCTCAATATATAAATTAAATCTTTTCAAGAAAACTCCCTGCTTCCATACAAGTACATACACCGTAAGTACACACCGCAACATCACACCGTAACATCACCTTTTACATACATAATAATAAAAAAGTCATGTTTTATCATTTTTTGAGTACTAGTACCATCATTAAAATTATTCGTACAACTGTTAGAGAACAATATGATTATTATATAGCAGATGCATCGTTTTTAAACTCGGGACAATACAGAAGTCAACATCACCATGGAGACCTACATACCCCTCAATAGTACCACTGACTTCACCATTTTAAAAAAGATGACATTGTAGAAGTAGAAGGAAGCATTACCAGAAATATAGATAATATCCTCAAGGTGAGTTTTCTCTATTTTTAAACAACTAAATACACATGTTATATCTAATTTACATTTATATGCTAAAATACTATTGCATAAACTAATTCGCTAGATAACGGCCTACCGCCTGCGTGTCACTAAGAAGGCCACCAACGAACTGACCCCATCACGCATGTCTATCCAAACATACGGCATAGTAACCCCCCCCCCACCGAAAAAAAAAAATCGGCTATTCTTCAAACTGCATACATCACAGTACTCAGAAGGATCAGACGTTGTGGGGCGGTTGAAAAGTTTTGATCGTCTAATTTTTACTCAAAAAGAAAAAAATTTAGGCTAAAGTGTGAGTTCAGAGCTTCTTCTGAAAAAAATTCTATTGCGATTACTTTGCTCGTTTATGAGAAATTTAATTTCAAAACTTGATATCAAAACCAATGGCTTCAATTACCTGCAAAATTATAGATTCTTCATTCTTACCTGCTGTCTGAACAAGATGGAGGCCAAGGAAATTCACCAACTTTTGTCACATGCATGAGCACCTTCAATTATGACAATTAGACAGTGGATTAATAAGCTTGAAAGTGGAGAAAAAAATATATTGAAGAAAAACCATGTTCAGGAGCACATCCAAAAAAGAATGTTCTGTGTTTTTTATTATACTGTAGATGGATGTATTTGCTAGAATAGGGCAAAACTGTAAATGAAGAATTCTATGGCAATGAGGTATTGCTTAAAATTTTTAGAAAAATGAGGAATAGAAAAACGTCATGCTTCATCATAATAATGCACAGCCACATAAGCATAAATTAGTCAAGAGGCTGTTACAACAGGAGCAAGTAAAACTGCTCACCCTCCTTATATATATAGTCCAAATTTGTCCACCTGTGACTTTTTCTTATTTCCAAGACTAAAAAAGAGCTGGCAGGAAGGAGGTGAAAAGTCTTGCACGTGGTGTTCAGGCAGTGGTTTACAGCATCCCAAAAGAGGACTATTGCAAATTGGAAGAGATGGCTGAAATTTGTATAGAGGTTCAAGGAAACTATTTTGAAGGACTTGTATGATTTATTTATAAATTATTATGTACATTTTTGAATAAATGATAATCAATGAACTCGCTGCCCATCTCCTGCACCACCACCTCTACTACTACCAATACCAACATCCCCAGCCACTGGCACAAGAAATAAACGAAGCTCCTCACTGACACTTCCCAACAAGGTACGTTAGCAACACGACAGATTACAAAAATCTCTCGAACCTTGCTTCCACAAAACTCAACATTTACTCTTTGATCCGACTTGCAGGTCAACGATTAAGTTGGTGGGAAACCGGTATAACTGTTATCAATATATACATTGTTTATAATATTCTGTCGTTGCCAAATGAATATTGTCACGTGCGAAGCACAATCCGCAAACGTTGCTTGCATCAAGTGCCTACCAATAACGCCTGCGTATAACAATAGTAATTTCACGTCTTTGAGAATCACGGTACAAATTTTTACTTGCAATACCATGACATGGTCGTTATCGAGTATGCGATAAACCAGGTCTAGTTATTATTATATATCTTGTTGCTGTAAAAAGTATTCGCTTAGGTAAATAAGAACTACACAAAATTACCCTAAACGGAAATCAAAAGTTAGCGTTAGGGAATGACACCACAGATTCGGGGCGATATAAAATACGTCTTGCAAGTTATTGTTATGGCTTGTAATTGAAAACATCGTTTCAGCATATCAGATAATTGTGATACACGTGTTTCGTGTATTGACCAGAAGCTTGCAAACACTCGGCTTGTTATGAGAATGCTCTGAATCGAACGTGTATAATGAAACAATATAACGTTATACGGAAATCAATGTTTCATCATGGGACACGTTTTCGTAGATTTTTTGCACATCACGTCAACCATTTTCTACTTATTATTATGAGTAGACTGTTACCTACTTATGAGCAGACCGTTACCTACTTATGTTATTACATTTCGACAGAGATTTAGTATATAATATTATTGGCGACCACGAATGTTCGATCCAACATATAAAGAGGTGGCTGAGATGCATGCCTTATCATAATGATGATGTAAGACCTCTATCATGTTCTTGTCACAGTTACAGCTACGTATTACAATATTAACATCTAATCGATAACAAGGACCAAATATTGTGCAAACACTAAATGCCAGTTTATTTAAATAACTTTACCCATAAATAATTTACACGTCAAGAAATGACACGAAGAATGATACAAGTACTACCGGAAATTAAGCTGCTGCTCTTTCGAAACTGCCTTTGCCGGTTGTGCCAAAGGAGGTTTACATCGTTTGATACGTGTGCAACTTGAGATATTTTGAGATGCAGCACGTTTTCTACTGGCTTGGAATAAAATTAGGTAACGAGGAAGCGTGGCCTATAAACATAAAAAGCATTTTTAGTGTCGTCATGGTAATAAATTAATATCTAGTTTAAAATTATAGCTTTTTACCTCATTTCGATTAACGGTCAAAATTTTGCAATGATTGGTTGCAACAACATCTACAACAAACATTGCCCTTGGATTGGATATTCCACAGTAGCTGTGGGAAATCGTTGGACTACCTGCAAACCACAATGCTTATGGAAAATACGTACACATGAGAAAGGGTATGGTTTGAGTTGTCTCTCTCTCTCTCCATCTCTCTCTCACGCTCTCTATCTACACACACATTTGTTGCGTCAATTAAGAGAAAAACAACTTACTGTTTCCAAAGCGGGAAAACTCAGTTCTAACTCCATACTGGATAATACCACATAGTCCACAAGCCTCCTTACAAAGTTCTCCAGACCCGATTTTCTTACAGATTTCGGGATGAGTTAAATTATTTGTACACCTGATTTTTGTTCCATGAAACATTCTCTGCGTGACACTTTTTTCACTAATTTGGTTTTGCTCAGCAAACCGTTTTTTATAATCATTGTGTTTATTAACAATAGCCTCTGGCATTTCCAATCGAGCAAACATGCATATTTCAGCGCCTTTGACTGAAGAACAAAAGATCTTTTTAATTTCTGCTATCTCTGCGCTGTCATTGCCGATTGTAACTATGCGGGTCTGCAATTTGCCCTTGTTGGCATTATAGCATGGCATGGAGCAATACAGCCTTAATATAGGCTCGTGAATGCTAAGGTCTTTCCTAGTCTTGCTGTCACATCCCATGCATTGCCATTCGGATCTCAGAGTATCCGGTTGCTGAACAAACGGTGATCCACCTAGCAAACACGACGGATCGGATACAAGGTACGGGTTATAGGGGTATTTGAGGGGTGGGATGGCTGGGGGTAGGAAATTATTTGATGAAGGCAAAAATTGAAAGGTAGGAGCGGTCAGCAGTGTTTGTATAGATGCCAGATTTCGGTCAGGATTATATTTGGTTGTTTGCGATAACGGTGGTATCGTTAATGGTGGTATCGTTACCGGTGGTGGCGTCAACAACTGTTGTTGTTGCTGTCGTTGCTGTGCTGCTTGTAACTGTAGTTGTTGCTGCTGTAGTTGTTGCTGCTGTACTAGTGCCAGTTGTTGCCGATGTGCTAGTGCCAGTTGTTGTTGCCGCTGCTGCTGCTGTTGTTGCTGCTGCTGCTGTTGTTGTTGTTGTTGTTGTTGTTGCTGCTGCTGCTGCTGCCGCTGCTGTTGTTTAGCCATTAGTTGTCGCAATGGTTGCATTTGTTGTATTCGCTGTTGTTGCAGTATTAATTGAACATGTTGAAACGCTTGACGTAACTGATCGTTCTCCCGCTTTATCGCTAGCATTTCAGTTTTGAGCTGTCGTATTTCTTGCATTACATCTAGATTCTGTTCGGTCTGAAAAGTATTTACATTATTTGTTGCCTGAACGAAATTGTAGCCAGCCTCGAACAATTGTAGTTCTTGTTGACTCGGTATTCCGTTCGTCATGGATTGATTCATTGTATTTACACTAGTTTGCTCACATTGGTCTAATGAAGCATATGCTTGTTCCGACGTCGAGATAAGGTGTTTATTATCTTCGACTTGAATGGCATTTGGCTGAAGCATGACATTGTTATCGACAGCGAGACCTGGCGACACACTTGCAAAAACGCAGTCGGTTTGGTTTGTAAAGAATGCTTTAAACTTATCCATTGCTAATGGTATTCAACATGAGTTTTGTGTTTGCACCCGTCTCGTTTCGACGTTTCGTTCGTTCAAAGAATGGCGGATTAGACTGCGTATAAAGTGGACATTCTAATTATATACTCTTTAATAGATAAGATTTTCCGTGTGGGAATGGCCAATCAAGCTTACGGAGTTAAAGGTCCGGACAAAAACCTTACGCACATTTTCTACAAATATGTAACACAGTATGAACAACAAGTGGGTCATGAGACTCAATGCAAAGCATTTAAGAGTTTTTTGATGTATTGATAGAATTTAATGCATTATCGTAGTTAAAATCTGAATGCTATCGGGAGTACAATTTCCTTTTTTCTTCCATAATGACATTAACGTTAAAGGGAGAAGGTTGATTGTGCTCATAAAAAAGGCACGTTCCCTTGTTAAGATTTACCTTATTGGGCAATTCGCTACATATTTGGAAAGCTTTGCAAGATCCAAAACGATAACTATAAAGTCTTGCTCATTTTGATCATATTTCTTTTCGGATAGTGATAATCTGCATCGTAATCAATTTGACTAATAGTATTTGCGGATTGAGTCATGGCTCTGCAAAGCAAACCTTTCACCATTTCGAGCCACACCAGCCATTTTTATTTTGTGTGTATTGTTATGGCCCATTCTGGGATTTGGCCATTTCGGGATTATCACACTACAATAATCCCGTGCTGTGCACCAATAAATTACATTTTGGATAATGCCAACACAATACATATTGTGTGATAAAATGGAAGCAATCCCAAAACGGGCAAATTCGGTCCAGAACATATACATTACATGTCTATACGTACGTAATAGCATCTTACATATAAAAGAGTTGCGACTAGATTTAGCAAAGGTAAAGTAAAAGGGAACGTTCGGGTTTTTATAAAGACCGTTATGACAATCTTTTTTTACCGAAATGTCATATACAAAATATTCGATCAAACTGGACTTATATTTAGAAAAGTTTTACAAACACTTTTTTGTGTGTAAATTACCCAATATTAATATTGCGAATTAACATATTGTATGCAGTTGCACGTCCATGGTATCGCGGGAGGCATCTTGATATAACATTGGAGATACATAGTTGGACACTCTTGGGAATTTAATATAGCATGTTATTGTTATTATAATACGTGAATGTAAAAAACACAGCATATTTTTACATTCGAATTCAATAGAAAGTATTAATACTAAAGGTCAAATCTATGCATTAAACGAATGGAATAATTACAATCCGGCCATCACTTTTCAGAGATAAAAGCAACAGATTTTTGAAATCAATATTAATATTGAATTGTAAAATTTAAACTGTTGATATTAGTGTCGTAAAATGTTATCAAGTTTGCCTTGAGATTTAACCCAATATCCAATGACAATTAGTTACAACTACGAACGAGGTAAACTAACGAGTAAATCAATTGATCAAACATAGCAATCTATTATATCAACCTTTCGTGTTAATTGTAATACTAGTACTAGGTTTGCTTCACAATGTTTTGTATTCCCATGTATTTACAGAAATAAATCAACATCTAAATCAGGTAACAATAAAAATAAAAATAGTTTGATCTACTCGATTTAAAGAGGAAATTCGTGCCACTTTACAAACACAAAAAATAGGGAACTCGTCATTTCCGGAGATGCGTAAAAGACAGCCTTAGACTCAACCGAGAAACGCTTCTTAATATCATTGATTTGTTCTAACTAATCCTCCGGTAAATATCATTGGTCACATCACTCGAATTCTTTATTAACAAATACAGGTTACTTCATAATGATTAAAGTTAAGATTTGTGATTCCCGCTGACAATAACAACATCACTAATAGGGTAATGGAAATGTGACAATGTATTTACGGTTAAGATATTTACTATAACAGAGAGAAAAAGCTTGATGTATGTTAATAATGTTACATTTGGTTTGGTTGAAAACATCTATTATACACGAGGTTAGGAATAAAGGATGATCAAGAATGCTCAGATTTGAAACTGAGCGTCAAATTATTCGCCCAATAATAATTATTTGGTATGAAACCCGTCTATTTACTGACATTAATACTAAGATTACAGATAACTAGTGGCATTATCACTTTCATGCCCAAATCGAATATAATCAGCAAGAAACTAACAAGACAAACAAGAATAAATATTAGCACAAGCAAACTCGGTTTAAATACTTTAACCCAACACTCCATTCTATCGACAGACACACAGTTCAATATTGCCGACACTTACTTCTCCACACGACCATCACCATTCCATCAATCCTCATTTCTCTCACTCTTGCATACTCTCCTGCCCAACAAAATCAAACGGTGCTCTGACCTCGTTAGCCGAACGCTCACTCTTTGGCGGTGGCGGAGGGGGGAAAGGAGGCGACAAAATTGGTGCGGGAAAAGACTGTACATCGTCTTCATCTCTATTTCCGTAGAAATCGTTGTTGGCGTTCACATTAAACTTCTCACCTAATTCAATCTTGGGTCGAATAGGCACTTGAATCTCCACAAACTTTAGCATTTCTTCCTCACCCTCCTCATCATCTTTGGCACTTCGCAATTTTTTCAATCTGAGCTCGTGCAACTGCTGTGCCGTCAACACATTTGACTGACTATCATCTTCGTTCTCGACTTTAGCATCGACGTTTTCTTCAACCCCGATCGATTCCATCTTATATGGTTGTGGTATTGTACCTCTACGTTCGTTAGACGTTTTCCGTTGCATCATCTTCAACACTCGAAAGCGTAACAAGGCACCGCATCCCCAAATGACAGCATTGATGTATGAAAAGATTCCAATAACACTACCGAGGCTCGCCGCTTTCTTGAGAAATTGAAAGTATGGTTGCTGGTCCGGATATAGATAGTCAGAGTAAGGCTTAACCAGGCGAACAGCGAATAAATCGTCTGTCATTCCTGCACCGGTTGATATTATGATTGCGGTAATTAGCCAAAGACCGCAAAGAACAGCTTCCATTATAGCGAAATAAAGACTGAGTTTAAAACGGTTGATGACTTCAGGTATTAGTAGAGGGAGGCCTACTATGACTGACAGACCAGTCACTATGAGCGCAATGTATACGTCCGCTGGGTATCCATGTATGCTTACAGAAAAGCCTTTGAAGTCTGTATATTCGGAAATAAAGGCTGACAGAAATTTCTCAGTATCAGATATCCAGCCACCAAGTAATGCAGCAGTTATTACTATAAACACAAAGACAACGACTTGAATCACCAGCAACGATATGGTCAGCAAGCGTAGTGGTGACCTGTTGCGTAATGATGACATGTTGCGTAATAGTGACATGTTGGGGAATTGTAATGGCATGGTGGTGGCGTTAGATTAGAATGGTATACTAGTATATGGGAGACGGGTGGAATGAAAAGGAGAGAAAGAGCGGGTGAATGTGAGACTGCATTCCAGGAAGGGAGAATTCTAAAGCAGAAAATGTAACGTAAACCATGTGAGAGACAAGCTTTTTGATTGGCATAATTTTGGAAAGTGCCCTGAAACTTTAACGTACGCCTACATCGATTTATCCTTTTATGTAAGCAGCTATAAATTTATTATTTTACGGGCATTTCAATTCCATAAACAAGTCGGCTTCTGTCACTTTCATTGGGACGACATGCAATCCTCGGCTTTTGTATAGTATACCCCATCTTTCGTTTATGTCATTTTCAGGCAAACATGGCGTCACTACAGTAGTAACTAAAAAATGACTTTCCCCAAGCATGCTAGTGGAGTGGGATAGAATATTATTTCAAATTGAAAAAGGTTACATGTCACTTGAGAATTCGAGACCCTTGTTCCTATGCTGATACCATTTCCTTCCTCAGTTAGTGCTTTGTGTAGTGTTACCAGACTACGCTTTATCGACGACGGTCTAACCCTCGCTCGTCTGATAATTATGAGACTTTATTATATAGTATGTATTAGAAGTTTCAGATACAGCACCCGAAATGTTGGTGTAACGGACATGTGTTGAAAAAGTGTTGTTTATTATTATGTTGAGCAACAGTAAATAATAATAGTCATATTAAATAATATATTATTATTGGTAGTAAAAAATTGTCGTCTATGATTGTTGATTCATTCACTGAGAACGAATATATAAGGAATTCCTTAAATAGACGCGTCGCAATTCGGCCCTTTTATAATTATGACAAGAGGACGCTGGAGTATCAGACCAGACAAGAAGAATAGTTCGATTATCAATGCAGTAGTTTTGATTAGATAATTTAGCGCAACGTTTGAATGAGAGTTTCGTGATTTGGTCAGCCGAATTTTATAAAGCGTCTGAATCAACGATAATGATCAATACTGAAGTTGTCTTTTACTTATGCAGTTGATCCAATTACCGATTATGAAAAGAGAGTTCGGCATCAAACGTCCGGATTACCGAAAAGCAGCTGACTGTATTGTAAAGATCTAATCCCATGACGTGCATTTTTGGGAAGAGCAATTGCTGAGTAGGAAAGAACTGCAGTTCAATTGTCACGCATGATGTCGCAATGTTTGTTGTTGCCGAATGTGTGTCCCGATATAGGATAAAAAGTGCAAACTCTGAGCTGCGCAGAAAACATTCGGGAGTTATTACTTCTACCTGGTAATCAGCGATGATATTCAAATCTATGGCAAATGAATAGCACGTAGCTATTGCATTAACTACTAAGGACATTGAGAATATTGAACCCTTTGAAGCTTTTGTAGAAAACACAGCAGAAAGTGGTTTAGATTATCGCATGCACTATCCTCGCACAATCGATAATAATAGAAAGATTAAAAGAGCTTAGGAGCCTTGAATAGAAAAATGATTGAAAAACTTAAAACGGCACTTGCAAGGTTTGACAGATAGTGGAATTGAGATTGATAAAAACTATCCCTTTCTTTCTGGGTTTTCACTAAGAACAAAAAGCAATTAAAATAAATATTGCAATGGAAATAACGAAACTAATAAAGAAACGAACAAAAAAGGATGCCTACGCAGATATGGTAAAAGAGCGAGAATAAGATGGGTCATGGTAATCCTTTGTTTGACGGGTTTGGCGGTTGGACATGGAAATCTTCTTGGAGAAGTTGTTGAACTTGCTGAAATTGCTGAAAAAGTTGCTCAAAATGTACCATTACCCCAGCCGCAATTTCTTCTTCTTACTCCTCTTCCTCTCCTCCTACTCCTCCTACTCTTCTTCACAATCCGTTTCGCACAACAACAACGAGCCCTAAACCATCGGTTTGATAATAGTACGTCTGCTCTCTCAAATTTTATACTTGGTTTATTGTTCGAGACGGATATTTTAAAACTTCACTTGTTAAACCAAGATATGGAATGCTTACTATTACTTTTCGACCATCGTTTAATTGGCCGATAAGTTCTTGTTCGTTCACTTGACAACTAATTACCTGTGGGTGATAAAGTATCTTGTCAGTAGTTATAAATTATTTTCTCATTTTCTCTTTATTCTGCGTCTTTCTCGGCATTTTTCCAGGCTTGGCAAAAAAGGGTTTATTATTATTATATACTGTTGGAAATGGACGGGCTTATTCGTAATTGTTTAGCCAAAATTTTATATTACCACTATTGGCTTTAACATGAGTTTAAAAAAGAACTTCGACTTGTAAAAAAAATTGTAACCTTTTCATTCACAAGTAACGGCATGTTTACTCTCTTTTAATTCACTATTAATTAATTGTCCTTTTTGGTTTTGGTGAAATTCAAAAGTATGTTTTAAGTGTTTAGGAAGGTCATTTTGCTAGAAAATATTTTTTATTCGAACGGAATAGCCCATTTTAGGGGAGGAATAAACAAAAGACTTAAAGTTATTGATTTCCTGTCTTGCCTTATAGCTGATACTGTAATTCGACAACTTCTTTACATCCGACAGCATTCTCGAACAATCTCTATACTGATATCTCTTGCAAATTGATTTTTATTTCAATCTCTTCTTCAATCCCGTCAATTAGTGCATCATGTTCACGTTCACGAAACGTGCGAAATTTTGGCAAGCAGCTTTTAACTCACGAACTCATTCACGCCTTATCTAAAAAAAATCCCACTTGTTTTCTTTTAAAAGCAATTTTTTTGCCCCCGAAAGTTTCTAATTGTTGTCTTAATTCTCTAATTTTACCTTTCGTTCTTTGTTCTTTCCCTGCAAACTCATCTAAGCACGTGATTTTCATGTAATATAGAGATTTGAAAATCGAATATGTATAGTGAATAAGTGTTACATTTTAATAGCGTCGTTTAACAATTTAACTGTATAACAAATTACTATTAACCGTCTTTGTTAATAGGAGCAGTTCATCTTTGTCGACTTGTTGAAATATACGAAAACTATCAGATGTGCATGTTGACAATAGTGAAGGCAATAGTAGTATTAAATTACCGATTGTAAGAGCAGCGATGCTGCAAGCAGTTTGGAGGTCATTCATAGAATTATTCAAATATATTATTGCACTTGATCGTTATAATCAACGAATGACATAGATGGATTTTTTAAACAATTAATCACGTGTAATTGATCAAATGTTAACCCTCATTCCCCTGTATCTACCTAATCGACAAGAAGTGAACTAACAAATACAGTTTTGGAAAGGAAAGGAGTGGTTTAGAGTAGCATTATGTTGGACGTCTATCTTGTCAACCTGGAGATACATTCTCCTACGTTTACATCATGAAGAAAATTTTATTGGTCACCTGAGTTTGCAATATTAATGTCACATGAACAGCTCGAAGAATCGCATAGAGCAGTTCACAATTATCGTTATCGCATCTACAATTTTTAGAACTCGGCTCTCGCCAACCTCTTTTCACACCTCATGATCTCAGTGGCCTTCTTTCGGTTGCTCTATTAATTTTCGATGAAAACTTTCTAATAGTGACATCTCGCTTATTGCAGTATTGTCTCGCCCCTATGGTAACGAGATCTCGCAACTTTGGATAGATATAACCTCGTCATGGAGCATTCTTGGTAAGATTTTTCTTCTTAATGTTAAGGAGAGCGTCGAGGTCTCAAAAGTATGGTATTGTAGCGTTTTGGATATCTCTCGTAGAATATATGATGGATATTCCAGCCAATAATCATCCCAGTAATTTATTGTTATTATTATTATTATTTATTATGTTTACTTTCTCTGTAGCACTGCCCATATTAGTTGATAACTTGGGCCAATAGTAATTGATTTGTGAAAATTTTGACCCCTGAAATTAGGGTGTTATTCACTTGTACAAAGTCTTTTCATTCCAAGCTGTGGGGATGACGAATTCGACTCCATCGGATCCAATACCTCAGCCAAACGTCTCAGAACATTCACCATCAGACTCAGCAGCACTCATCCTCAAAGTAGCAGCCGCTGTCTTTCTAACAGGATTTACGGGGACTGTATATTCTACGTATGAGCGAAGTAATGCTATCTCGATTGGCGTCCAGAGTAGTGCTCCGATTATCTGATGATTCTTATTCCAAGTTTGACATTGTTTTCTTTTTCAGCAAAAAAGGAACTATCAAAGAATGCATTGCCGTTAGGAAAAAGAATCAGTCCTCCAATGTCATACAAACAGGCTTCTCTGTTCTCGTTTAAAGCATTCCTCCTTGGGACTACACTGTGTTTGTCCGGGTCCGGTATACTAGTGCTTGGGATTAGTTCGGCTTTAGGGGTCTCTAGTGTAAGTGAATGTGAACAGAATGTTGCCGTATCAGTAGGACGATCCGACTTTCAATAAAACTGAATCACTAATCGTGTTATAGTTTCACGAATTCAATCAAAAGATGCGTCGGACAATATCATATCACACACCGTCGTTACAAGAAAGACTTGCAGCTGCTGATACTGAAACTGACATTAAGGGCTTTACTGATTTTTCTAACGAATGGGAGAAAATGAAAAGAGAAGCTGCTGATCAGCGAAGACAAAAAGAGGAAGAGCGGGAGAGAAAACGAAGGGAGGGAAAGTGGTGGTGGGAAGACTAGAGAACAATAGACCGTGTTAATATCTACTCGATTAAATCTTTCGTTACATATAATATACAGCAATCATCCTACAGTGATATTGGACTGTACGAGTGCCGAGTGAAGAATGGATGACGTCACATACTCTGATGTTTCTATGACTGATCATTGTGATAAATGCGGGCTAACCACAAAAAGCCTCTGGGTAGGTAAGTAACGAATACCACTGAGGATTTGTTATTGTCAAATCACTGTTTGATCAGCGGAGCACAAAGCTGTGGGGGTGAGAACCTTCTGTCGCAGAACAACAATAGTAATTAATAGAGAGAGTTTTGGCAT